ATGTATATATCTATATTAGCTTAAGGATTTTCATTTTAGTAGGCATGATAATTTCCAAATTTTTTAAATTGCTTACATATACATTTATATGTACATACATATACGCACACATACAAATATAATTTGTATTACCTTTTAAGACAGGATAATTTTCATTGTAATTTGTTGGCATCTGCAAGAAAAAATAAGGCACTTTTTTTAAATTCAGGCATTTGGTTCCAATTTCAAAACAATGCTTAAATTCAGTTTAGTGAATATTTTAAAATATCTTTGTTATAATAATTTCAAGTTTACTTTTTTAATATTTCACATTTTTTTTTATTCTTTAAACTCCTAATCATTTATTAATGAAAGTAGTTTGTATGAATAACATTTTTTTAACATCTGTATACCTACTTATTATATGTACTATACTATGTTGCATTAAAAATGCATAGTGATACCTGTCAATTGTGTCACAAAAGAAAATTTGTCTTTATAGAAATGTTATTCTTTGCTTGGCAACTTTGTATGCATGTATTTATGTACGTTTAGATATTTTTTTAGTTATTAAGCGTGTTTTTTACACACATTTCGTCGTTTAAAGTACAAAACCGCGTATCAACAAAATGCAAAACCGCGTATCAACAAAATGTAAAACCGCGTATTTGAGGTTGCGATACATGCACGATGAAAGGCCCTAACTGCGGAAATACGATGCACAAGCATTTTCGTCGTCCTACGCTCAGAATTATAAGTATATGTTGAAGGTTTGGTTTGTTGCTCCTTTTTTTTAAATTGAAAAATGTCAGTTGGGGTCTTTCTACATTCCATCAACGACATATATACATACACTCATACATACATATGTATATGGGCGAATGCGAAAACACAAAAATCGAGAAAATTCATTTATGATGACTTTTACAATCATGCACAGTATATTTTACTTAATTTTTTTTTATAAAATTATATTATTTAAACCCACGAAAATAACAATCGAAACGTTCTCCGTCAACAAATTTGCAACTTAGAAAAACGGAACTACGATCGAAATGTAGAATAGGTATAATCGTGAATTTCGAAGATTGATAGAAAGGAAACGGAACGCAGAATACCAAAGTTGCCAAACGGAGAAAATTTCGATTCGAGTCGAAATGCAGAATAGGGCTGAGTATAAAAAATTACTCATACGCCAAATATGCACATATATACTTGTATACGCACAGGTTTTTAAATGCATTTATTTATGCATATGTATGTATATGTACATACATACATATTTTTATAAAATGACAATACACAGCCCTACAAAAGTAAACGATCTATTGTGCTATTCTGTGACCAGTTTACGACAATTTTCATATCGATATCGCAACTTGCGACAAGTTTTACGAATTCTCTATTCTATACGAATTTTTGGACGGATTTTGATGGTTAAGTTTGGTATTGTCTTTACGATAATTTTCGTAAGGTTAAAGCTTAGTTTTCAGCTCTCAAAAAAAATCACAAGACATATTTTTCATTATTTCTGTGCTTGAAGAAGTACCATGCCTAGGCGTATTTAATAAACAATGGAAGTATGGGTTAGGTTAGGTTATAGTGGCAGACCCACGAAGGGGACTCACTTAAGACATTTAATTGTCCATTGTGATGCCACATTACACAAATTCTTAGAACGGTAACTGTGTTAAAGACTAAGAGAAGCGCTGGGTGCTCCCAACAAAGTTCCGCAGGCAGCTGATATCTACACCAGAGAGCCCCTCGGGAGTGTTGATGAAATGTGCATCGAGGTGCTTAAGCACCTTAATCTACCGAATGCCGGGCAGTTGAGTCGTCTTCCAGACAACTGCGGCAGTAGGGATCCGTGACGATCTTGAGTCACACTGCGTGGGTTCCTATAGGACAATGTCCAGTCAGTACACCTGTAGGAATAGAGAGCTGGCGCTTAGCCAGCGGCAGTAGCTCCCTTGACCGCTCTCGGTCCACACCCGGCCAGAATGGCCTTGCACGTCGGGGTTTTTGCCCAGCGCTCGCTGAGCCGACTGTAAGCCCATCTGTCCAGGAATAGATCGCAGGTTGCCAACGGAACTCCTATACCCTCCCTGTTCGAGGTGATGGCCTCGAGGGTGCCCTGCCTAGCCATTTCATCAGCCCTGCAATTTCCAGTGATATCACTGTGCCCTGAGACCCAAACCAGCTTGATATGGAAGTATTCCGAGGCAGTTGAGAGAGAGAGGTCAGGCCTGCCTGACAATATGGATTACAACTAACACATCATCTTGACGTAAAGCTTGTTATGGCGAAAAATTCAGATGTCGTCCCAACACGGCCCTATTAGATTCGCCTTGGTACGAGAGCTGGATACTATACTATTTGCACATTATCAATGCAATTCAAGCAATTCTGATGTAAACAAAATTTTGTAACCTTTCGTCAATTGCATCTAAATAGATCAGGTACAGTTATTTCCCTCAACATCGCATTCTAACTAAGAAAATATACTTAAGCAGATTTTAACTACCCAGGACAAATCGCATGTGATCACCGACCAAATTACGGGCAACTCCATTAAGCTATGGCTTAACAGAACAGCTTATATGACTGTCAAATGACATCCTTAAAATGACACAACCTCCAAATAGCATAAGCTGATCAAAATCTACTTATTTTTAATTTTGTCAGACTCTGAAGGAATAAAGAAAAATATTTAATGTAAATATATCACCAGAAAAAAATAATAATTAATGCTCTTTAATTGATAACGAATATTTTATTATTTGATAACAATTTCCTGCGCTATAGAAGCTAACTTTACCTTTGATGGCATAGCCGTCGTGACTGCCACACAAACCGCCAAAGAAAATAAGAAAATTATTTTCATTTTTAACTGAAGACTCTGTTTGGAGTAACTAAGTATTAGTTGCGACTTTAGATAGTTTTTAACTGTAACTGGTGACTGAGCGTATCCTGCTACCATATTTATACCGGAAAATTTTTCAAATTTTCAATACAGGGTGATGCAAAATGTTTTCGCACTCATTGTACATTGAACCACGAATGTTTTATGCTCACATAGTATTTCTATCGCAAAAATCAAACTCTAAAATCTGTCATCATTGCCGTTTTCTTATGTGGCTTAGAAATGTTTACAATATCGAATATCGGGAACTATTGAGAGAACGATTGGAATGGCTAGAGCATATCCTACGCGAGGATGATAATACTCCTGGAAACAGACTTTTCTTCCCATGTTAAAATTTTCCAATACGTTTGAATAGCTGAACGTTGAAAACCAGGGACCGATAATAACAGCTTATTTTTAAGTTTGAAATAAATAAAAGTTATTTCCTGATAATAGACAAACAGCGAATCCAAATTAAACAAGTTTGATATCAAGTGAAAGAGGACGGAAATAGATTTTAAACAGAAATAACGAACGAAGGTTATAACCTCTATTTATATATATTTTTTTATAATTTAATATAAAAGAAATTCATATACCTGACCCAAGGTTTGTTCTATGGTAATTAAATAAAATTTTTTATTGAAATATTTTGCAATAGAAAACGTTCCTCGTTTAGACATTTCAGTTTTAAAGCTATTTTAGTCCTCTTTCATTTGATACCAAACTTGTTTAATTTAGATAAGCGGTTTTTTATTATCAGGATATGACTTTTATATAAATATTTGGCCAGGGTGACTTATAAAAAAAAAATAACTGTTAGTTTCGGTCCCTGTTGAAAACACGTTAGCCTATTTATGCATAAATACTCCTGGCCACCAGGATGTTCGTGTATGACATCGATACAGTACCCTGTATAGTAATACCATGTGTCGCCATGGCAACTGGTGGCTCGTAGATAACTACATTTGCGAAATGGATGTGTGCCTACATAAGTTTGCTGACACACATATGTATGTAAGTACGGGCATTGTAGAAAGCATTTGTGATACCACAAACTATTTTACCATATGTTAAATAATCTTAAATATATTGTTTGGATTGTATAAATACATATGTACATACATACATAAGTTTGTATGTACATATCGTCATTATCAATGCAAAATTCCCTGAATGGCAAATTGGACCCGAACACTTTTTAAACTAAAATAAGATGTTATGAATATGCTGTGAAAGGTGTCCTAACAATATGAGTAAATTTCGTTATTTAAGATGATGCTTTGAATTTTACTACATGGCTTGGGGATAGTTAACGGAATACTTAAAAACGAATTTCTCAAAAAATGTCAGTTGGTTCCTTTTGTATTGTTTATAAGGACAATTTTTTTCAACAGGAGGTAACATCAAAAGTCTTCCCCCTAAGTACATACGAAACGACACATTTTGTAATTTAAGTTCATTGTAGGGAAAATCTCAAGTTTTTAAATGACACACAAACAAAAAAAACGCTGCACAGTGATATTTGGTGCACAGTTCGTGCCCATAAATGGAAAAATAAAGTACCGATTTTGGGGCTTTAATTTCTTGGGTTGGCTAAAATTATGTTTTAGCTATCGAAATATGTCCCAGACCGCTCCCGACCTTTTGCATCTGTTTGTATGATCAGTGGTAAAGTGCTATTTAAGGCAGCGCTCTGAAAAGTAAAAATGCAATACTTGAGTTTAAACGAACACCAAAAGCCGTAGGGGCGATCGATTTTAGTTTTGTAAAATGGGTTTTCCTTCTACAGGTGAGTTCTATATAGGGTATAATTTTAATTTTTTTTTAATATTTTCATCTGAGTATTTAATGAAATATTCAAGTGAATTTTTTAATAAAAACAGTTTAAAGGAAAAGTCATGTATGTTCATTTCAATATAATTATATTTTAAACTTAGATACTAAATGTAGAATCCGAAGGACGGTTCCGTCCGCAGAAGTGGAAAACTTTTGACTGCCATTCACCTGGGAGTGGCCAGAAGCGATTCTTGTGCGTACGGTTCAAATCGCAGCTCACAACGTCCGGATATTTATACCCACGTATCCTCTGGGTTGCAACCAAACACCCGTTTGGAAGCGAGCAAAAGTGAGAAGGCGTAAAAATTCGCGTACGCTGGGTTTGGGTCCCGCCAAGCTAAAACCCCGCCCAATGAAAAATTCCAACAAGCCTCGGATGAGACCCCCTTTTTTGATGACGACGACGAAAAACGTATAAAAGACTATGATTTGAGGGTATGCACCTGGAATATCCGGATCCTTAAGGCTGACATTACCGCCATCCAAGAAATGCGATGGACGGGGCAAAAAAAAGTAACTGTGAAGTCTACTATAGCTGCCACGTAAGGGAGCGCAGATTTGGTATTGGATTCGTGGTAGGAGCGAGACTCCGTCGTCGAGTACTGGCGTTCATCCCAGTGGACGAACGTCTAGCCACAATACGCATCAAAGCTAAATTCTTCAACATCTCAATCATCTGCGCCCATGCTCCGACGGAAGAGAAGAATGAGGCGTCCAAGGATCTCTTCTATGAGCGCTTAGAACGTGTTGCCCCCGACACGATGTCAAAATCCTGCCGGAAAATTTAGCTTCCCGGACGAAACGTCCGATAATGGACTGAGTCTGATCGACTTCGCCTGGGCCCGAAACATGGTAATATGTAGTACTAGGACCCGCATAAGAACATCTACCAAGCTACATGGCTGTCTCCAGATCGAAAATCGAGAAACCAAATCGATCATGTTGTGATAGAGGAAAGGCATGCTTAAAGCGTTTTAGACAGGCGTACTCTCCGAGGGCCAACCATCGACTCGGACAACTATCTTGTTGTAGCCAAGATACGCACCCGCCTCTGTGCAGCAAAAAATGTGCGCCCAACAATGCAAGTAAAGCTTAACGTGGAAAAGCTGCAATCACAACAGACGGCCAATTTATTCGCCACTCGACTCACACACCTGCTCTCTGAGAGCACCTTTCAACAATCCGACATACGTGAGCAGTGGAACCACATTTCCTGATCATTAACTACCGCCGCCGAAAAAGTAATTGGATTTCAGCGAGCCCGAAATAACAACTGGTACGATGAGGAATGTCAAGAAGGTGCAGAGAAAAAT